AGAGAGAGAGAGAGAGAGAGAGAGAGAGAGAGAGAGAGAGAGAGAGAGAGAGAGAGAGAGAGAGAGAGAGAGAGAAATGGTCAGCTGTGTGAGATGGGGGAACTGAGGAAGAGAGTAGAGGGCAGATGAGAAGAGTGAGAAGAGTGGAGAATTGTCAGTGTTTGAGACAAACCCATTCTTGTTAGGGCTTTTAGGATTCTAGGTGTCTATTTGGCGAACATGACATAAGGGCTCATCTTGCCCATAGTGGTTGCACGAAGGTGCTGTAAAGTGTGGCATTTGTCCAGTGTTTACGATGGGGTAACTTACTCCATTGCTCACGGCCTCTGCAAGCTCTTTCAGGGGTCGATCTTGAATGGCTTGCGCAAAGGAACTGACCACTCACATTCATGTCTGACATGCGTGGTTGCATGCACACAGTCAGAGGTGGATAAGTGTACCACAAGTTGTGGCAGCATGTTTGTGTAAGCAGTAAGCAGGAAAGGCTCTTCCGATTGTCGGCTGCGCTCTCCACTCTTGCAAATATTGGTTGCCATGAAGGCGTGAGATGGTAGCTCACGGCAATCAAGACGTGTAGGGTTCTTGATGTTCCGGGGTCCGGAAATGCAGTCAAGGTTATGTTGGGGCGACATGGAGTGAATGCGGCATCATAGGCTTCGGTAGTGTGACCCGCCTGACCAGTGATGGTTGAGGTCTTCCCAACCAGTTTACTGACGCTGCCCATTGTTCCCACCTACGGAGAAGCTCTAGCAATTGCTGAAGGTGCCTTGTGGCAGTTTTATGGACCGTCCAAAGCATCAACTCCAGAGGGGAACACAGAGGTGGTTAAGGCCCGCGAGGTGGGAGTTGTGCAGGCTGGATGACTTCAGCGCGGCTGAACTGTGGCAAGGAGGAGGTGGCTAGAATGGAAGACCCATAGCTGGGAATGGGGAGGCCATGCCTGGACAGGATGGAAGCGCTGGCAGAAGCAGATGGACGAGTTATCGGCAGGTGTGTTTGTGACAGAGAGATGAGTTTTGTGCGAGACAGCTCGGTGAACGTCAAAGGGATGGGTCGTCAGCGGACGGGTGGGCCTTTGGCTAGAACGTGGGAATGGGGTGAGAGTATGAGAGGTGGAAAGACCAGAACTATGGAGAATGGCATGGGGAATACCAGAGGCAGTCAGGTGCGAACAGGTATGCTAAGGGTTGAGGTAAGAAGGGGTGAAAGGGAACGAAGAGGGGAATGGCAGGGAAGGGAAGCAAGAGGGGAAAGGACGGAGAGGGGAAAGGAGGGAGAGGGGACAGGAGGGAGAGGGGGAGGGGGGGAGAGGGAGAGGGGAAGGGGAAGATGAAGGGCGAAGAAAGCTTGGAGTCCCCATGGTTGTTTTTGGTTGAGTTTTTTTGGATTCTGCTTCTGATTTTGCATTCGTTACGACATCGGAACGGAATGGGTGGAAGCAGGGAGCCAAAGAGGGAAGGGCAGAAATGCAATCCAGGTAAAGTGGCCTTGTGGGAAGGACGGGGATGACATCCAGGTAATCTAGTTAAATTTGTTTTTGAAGTTTGAACAGTAATGTTAGATGTTCTTGGATCTCCATTAATCTCACCACGACGGCAAGAGTGACCACTTGTCATGAGCTAAGTTCCCTTGAAGGGAGGGGGAAATTGGGGACAGTTGTTGTCACTTCTTGGCCATTCTTCTGAGTGCTGAACACAGTCGTCAGTCTTCATAGGACATAGGCCGAATACCATTTAGCTAAACATATAGGCTGTATAAGTTTTTCCAACTGTTCCGCACATGTGAAGTGACTGCCATAGACAGAATCTGGGTGAATTCAACAAAATTAACTGTAAACATTTTTTGCCCAATTCACCCCACTAAGAACCAAAAAAAAAAAAAAAAAAAAAAAAATTGCGGAGCAGTATTTGTTTCTTGTTCACCCGAACACTATGCACCCTGATTTGGAATGTATACAAGCTATATTTCTGGTTCAATACGGTTGCGATGAGGATGCGCTATGTTCGGGGGAAGACAATAGTACTTTCCTTTATGACCTGCATACATCTGGCTGCAAAAATGTTATAGCATGCTACCCATCGGTGTGTGCCATATTACTATCACCAGGCGACTGAGCCCCACTTGGTGTGACTCGTTGAATTGGGAAAAGTATGCGGTTGTGTGGTTGCACCTTCGAGGAGGTGAACCTCTGTCGCTTCCGGGGAACAATTTTGTTGACCTTCCTCCCCCTCCCCCTCCTCCACGTGCTCGGCCTCCGGCACTTGCCTGTGCAGATCAGACGGATTCTGCCACTGATGGTGAGAGGCCCCCTTCAGAGGACCATCGCTGTGCCATGCCATCGTGTGAACATACAGGCACTGCCGCTGTTGCTACACACGTGAACTGTTGAAATACAGACGTCAAGACTCGAGTTCGAATTCACAACCGGATGAATGAATCAATTCCAAATTACCTGGGACCGGTCAGTTCAATGGTGATGTCTCAAGCTGGTTGCGCTTTTCGATAAAAAAAAGGTGCAGAGGGATGATCTGAAAGCGATACTAGAACTCATGACCTCCTGAATGCCGCTTTTGTGCTCTACCAACTGACCTATGATCTGAATGGCCATCGTCTTGTGTGGCACGCTGCGGCTTCACCAGCTGAGATAGTTGGCTTGCCCCCCCCTGGCTGGTCCTGGCAGGAGTCTGGAATTTTGCCATCCCTTGCTACTAGGGGTTAGAAGCCTAGGTACTACTCCCTGCACCGAGTAGAGCCGATAGATATAGCTCCTTCGGTGCGTGGATTTTTTAAAAACGTTGAAAAAAAAAGGAAAACAGTTGAAGAACAATGCAATGCGAAGTTGCAAACATCTTTTACCTGAGAGTATTGTTGAAATTTGCCACCAAATTTGAGTAAGAAAAATAAAATATAAATCAGAGTATAAGGTTAGCGTTGTGGTGCCTGACACTGCCTGTGCCATTACCTCGATGTTTGGAAAAGCTTCAAAAAAATCGGGGAAAAGAACGTGTTGCAGTTGCACAACATTGAAATACAAACAACTTTCACCTGAGGAATCTGTGACGATGTTGTAAAAATTGTGAATCATTTTCTTTATTTTTTTATGGTAAAACCATATGTACCTTCTATTCAAATGCAACATACCCCAAATTCAGTGCACAATGTATGTACTATGTACGTCTATTCAAATATAAGGTACCTCATATGTTGTATCCGTCAAGGTATCGGCCGGCAACCGACCCGTTCAGCTCGTCCGGTTCTTCTGCGGATTCCAACTGCGCTATTTGAGATCTGTCTAAATCTGCATTAAAATTTTGAAGGCGCAGTCTTTTTTTAACGGGGGGGTTCCAAGGGGGGAAAGATATAATTGAGGGAGGTATGGCTTTCACGTAGAGGGGTCAAGCTAAGAACCTTATTTATCTGACCCCCACATGGCTCAACGATTTCAACTAAACTCTGTATGGGGTTGTGGCCTTCACACACCCACGAAACACGAGAGCTTGAACATGATATGGTGATGGGAGATCCTTGTACAAACTTATAGGGCCTCGTTCGACACCACTTGAACTCAAGAGTTGAAGGAAAATTCATCCTTTTGAACTCAAGAGTTGAAGGAAAATTCATCCTTGTACAAACTTATAGGGCCTCGTTCGACACCACTTGAACTCGAGTTGAAGGAAAATTCTTCGTTCCACCCCTCCCTGGCAACACCGCCGTAATGTTTTCACTTTCCTGCTCTCAAGTGCGCATCCTTGAAACTCGAGTGCTGCTGGCACTTGAACTCAAGGTACCTCCCCAAGTGCGAACGGATACGGCAGAGCACTTCGACTGGGGCTTTTTTTAAGTTTTTCTTTTTTTTCAGCAGGCGTTCTGGTCCAGGATCGGTCAAGCCATGGGTTTCGGTTTCAAGTGCAGCTTGTTCTTCCTCGAGTGTGCGTGGAACCATAAATGGAGATAGTGTAAATGAATCTCAATTGCTCGTTTAGGGCACCTTTGAAACTCGAGTATTTTCAAGTGGTGCCGAACGAGGCCCATAGTCCTGCATAGTATCGTGTCCGACCGCAGTAAGTTATGGGTTCAGGTTTCAGCTCATGGGGGCAGAGCATTTCTGTTTGTTTTTCGTTTTTTGGGCTTGCACCTCGGACAGCACTACAATTCTAACCTCTCGGCCCATAACTTTTTCCCAGAGCGCAGGGATGTCGAAAGAAAGATATAATCTCAGCAAGCCACTTCTGAAACATCATCCTGGTTGTGAGTAGCCGATTGCACGGACTTGCAAATCATATCTGGTTCGTGGGCCATTAGAGCACTTTTTTTTTTTTACTTTCTTACTTTTTTACTTTTTTTTTAACAAAACCCCTGCAGTGCTAGAGGTGCTGTTCAAAGCAGACACCACTAGCACCCGGGGAGAGGCTCCATCTATTGGTGGGGAGCATCACCTGCTGGGAAACGGGCCCGGCGTCCCTTGTACAATGATTCAGAAAAATACAGAGAACACCTTAGAAAAAAAACAGAAATAAGTTAAAAAGCCTGCCAGCATTGATTGCTCCGAGTTCAGATGATAGACTGAGCAGGTACACATGGACCACTCGTTTCCCCGCCCGTCACCCTCCATCCTTCCAGGTTGTCAAAAACAGCTTAAATATCTGCCAGAAACTACCCCCCTTCCTCAATGTATGGCGTGGCGCAGGGTACCAAAGGGGGGCACTGGGGGGCACCAGTGGTTCTTCCCTTCGCCTCCTCACCCGCCCCTCTATCTATTCCCGACAATACCCAATATCCTTATGAAGAGACGGGGTTTGTTAACTCCGAAGGACTGTCATATTATAATCTCAAGGGCCAAAGGGTGTGGAGGAAAGGGGTCCGGAAAGTCTTCTGCTGGTCTCATAGGAGTTTCTGGGCCAATCTCCATCCAGTTCTTAAAAAGGAGGCGGTAGTCCTGGGGGGGGTTCCTTCCATGCTGTCCTCACGAAGCTCCCTGTCTGCAAACTCACCCTCTAGCCATCGCACCTCTGCCACCCATCCCCCTTGTTCCCCACCTAGCCAATCCTTGGAAAAACTTGTAATTCGTTCTCTAATGTCTTTTTTTCTGTGAAGGGAATCAAGAACCCTTTTGTTTTCTTCCCACTGACAAGAAAGTTCTAATTGAAAATGTTGTTTGAAATGTTCCCGCCACTCCTCTCCTTCCACTCTCACATGGTCAAGGACCAAGGTGCAACGCTGCCACCATAGAATCCAAAACACTGCCCGTCTGCCAAGGTGAAACATGTTCCTTACAAAGGTGTTGCTTTGGACTGCCGGACAGTGCCCAAGTACAAAAGCTCTCCAGTCCCATGTCCACGGAACTCTGGGGACCATTTGTCTCCAAATCCTGTCCCACCACCTCCATGTGAGTATTGCTGCTGGGCATTGAAGGAAAATGTGTTCGATTATCTCCGCTCTTTTCCACGAGGGGAAGTTTCCTGTGCAGCGCAAGCACCACGGGAGGACCTTGCCCTGTTGTCCAAATGTGAGTGGTCAATCAGCCAATTATTTGTTGGTAGGCAGCGGTGTATTATCTGCCACTGGAGTAACGTGATCTTGGCAGGTTTGGTTTTGCAATTGTGGAACCAACGTACGGTGGTCAGGAGTTGTTTGTCTATGTTCAAATGTCTTTGGGGGAGGGGAATCCTCTTACTGTCCATCGAGAACAAGGAGGGTGGGAAACTGGTGAGCATAAAATACATAATATTACACAATCCAACCATAATATAACCTCGATGGGTACTCAGGCTGCTCTAGAGTTGGCTTAGGTAAGACACTACCTAGGGTGGCTCCAAGGAAACATTCAGTTCTGGACTAGCCTAGAGTGGCACACAGGCTGGTCTAGAGTTGGCTTAGGTAATAACACTCCCCAGGGTGGCTCCGTGGAAACATTCGTTTTTGGACTAGGCTGGAATGGTACCCCTACCAACCAATACACAACCTATAACCCAAATAGGAACACAAACTGGTCTAGAGTTGGCTTAGGTAAAACAACGCCTAGGGTGGCTCCAGGAAACATTCGGTTTCAGACTAGCCTGGAGTGACACAGGCTGGTCTAGCGTTGGCTTAGGTAATGACACTACCCAGGGTGGCTCCGCGGAAACATTCTGTTTCAGACTAGCCTGGAATGGTACACGTACCAACCATGACACAAACCCAATAGGCACCCAGACTGGTCTAGCGTTGCCTTAGGTAAGACACTGCTTGATGTGGCTCCGTGGAAACATTCGGTTCCAGACTAGCCTGGAGTGGCACATAGGCCTTCTTGAGCTGGCTTAGGTAAGACACTACCTAGATAGCTTCGTGGAAACATTCGATTTCGGACTAGCCTGCAGCGAGAACTATAAATACCAACCATAATATGACATAATTGAGGGAGCAAGGGTGGTAGTCTGGAGGTTTTCACTGGCTGGAATCGACCCTGCGGCGAACTAGTGCGGGTCACAGGACTGATAACCTTGCCCCCTCAATATGAACCAGACAACTGCAATAACACAAAACCCCCTAGTACGACAATGGTAGGCTACGCTAGGGACCGTGACATGTCACCCGGGTGGGGTCAGGGGCTTAGCTCGTATGAAAAAAAATAAGAGTGTATAAGACGATCATGCTTGGCGACCAAAGTACCCGTGCGACAGGGCTCGTTCGGTAGTGCTTGAACCAGGGCTGGGAGGTGGTCTTGGCCAAACGTTGGTGCCTGCAACTGTTGTCTAGTATATCCGAGGTAGGGCCAACAAATGCTCCCGTAGATGGGGAAGCCGGGGTTACACTAAGGAAGAAGAATGATGATGATGTAAGGTGGGGGGTGGGTCCTGTG